CTTTTAAACAAATTAATTGAGCCAGCATTTTTACAACCAATATCCAGATTATTTCATAATCTTTTTTTTTGACTGAAGTACATCTGTCCTTTAAATTTGTTCAAATTTTAGGTTTTACAAAAAAATTCTAGTTCCCTAAGATTATAACAACTTTCCCTCTTCACAAAATTTTAGTGGATGTTCAAAGGTAATACTATTTTATGTGCCTTATACATATTATATTCAACCAACTCAAAGTTTTAATAATTTCAATTGATGAAATAATATATTTGATAAGTGATAGTAATGTTTTCTCGTAATAATTCTTACGGCTCTTTTCTGTAAAATAAAGATTGGATTAGTTTTACATGCATTCCCTCATACTTCTATACAACAAATCAAATGTGGAACAATTATTGAATTATATAATATAAATAGTGCTTTATCATTAAATAACTCCTTTACTTTATGTAGTACTGCGATAGATTTATTCATCTGTAGCTAAAGACCAGCATCATCAAACAAATAAAAAAGGTAATCTTGAATTTCCCCACTTAAACAGCTATCAGGATTAATTTTAGAAATAAAAATGTTTAGTTTAATGTCTCCATCAGGACCAGAGAGGAGCTTGTTTTGACCTTTGTGTCTACTGACAACTAATCAAATACAATAAAGTTTATTAGCATCATTAGCTTTAAAAACGTTACCCGTGACCTCTAAAAACCATACACAAATAAACATTAAGAAAAACAGGGAAAAAAATCTAATTTTTGTTCTGTTAGTACAAGAAATCAGATGTTGACCTTCAGACTCACCTGAAGGTCTAAGCCAGGCACAGAGCGGCTCCTGTTGCCCATCGAAGCTTCTGGTGCGTCACGAAGGTCAAGTGTTGATAAACACTCTGGAATAAAACATTAAATAGTCATTAAAACACAAATCGTTCATTCAGCAGCAGTATTTCTCTGAAGCAGCCCACCTGCAGGTTTTGGGGCTCGTTTGATGCTTTTCTTAAAGAGCCTGTCGACTTCCAGCTCCAGGCTCAGATCAGCTGATTTCACTTCCTACAGAGAAGAAAACAAAGAGCTGTGGTCCGAGAACAGAACGAGTTAAAGAAACGATCTTACTGTTCTGGTTCCGCCGTCGGTGCTTACAGGGTCTGCTTTGACTGGAACAGTCAGACTGGAGACATCGGATCCTGCAACGCTGGACCGAATCGAGACAAACAAAAACAATCAGCAGAACATTTTTAAGTTTAAGTAAGTCTGCATCCTGAGAACAGCCATCGTTCTTTACTTCAACTGTTAAGTTGTTAGAAGAGTAATTCACCTCGGTTGCTCAGGACTGGTGCGACCAGATTCAGTCTCAGTTCTTCCACCAACAGAGGTGTTTTCTAAAGACTCCGTGCTGCAGAGCGCTGGCTTTGAAGAGACGTCATCACTCTTTGACTCAACGGTTTCCCTTGACGCAACGAATCCTGGGGTCTCACTTGACTGACTGTCGATAATAAAAAGACAAAAAGGTTGAAATATTCCTAAAGCTTGTTCTGAAAAACATGATTATAAAACCTGAGCAGACGGATACCTCGTGTTAACTGGCAGAACCTTCTGTCGAGGCAGAGGCACCGGCCTGAAAGGATCTGGAGGTTTTTCATTTCTTAAGATCACTTCTCCCATCGTCTCACGCTTTTTCACTGAAACGTTTTAGAAAAACAAAGTTCAACCTGGTAGAAAGTGTTGTTCACGTTCTCAAACAGCTGSTTTTCACTTCCTGTTCCTGGACTTACTGGGTGTCTTCCTTTTCAGGGAGACCCTCACCAGGTCATGTCCAGGAGCTGCAGAGAACCGGTTGATCCTTCGACTGTAGAACCAATCACCTGTCCTCTTCTTCAACTCACTAAATTTAACAAACACTTCAGTAAAAGTCTGTAAATTACACTCAACATAAACTCTTCATACATTATTTAATCTTGGTATAAAAACATAGTTTATCTTTTATTCAGTTATAAACACACAGGTTTGGTTCCACATGAGTGTTTATGTTTTCCCATCGTGTTTGAGGACATCTGTATGTTCAGGTAAATGAACTCAGGTGTGACACCACAGTAAGGAGATCTTATTGACTGAAACCTAAAACACGCTCAGAGCTGCCATTACAGCCAAGCCGACTGGTCCAATAACTTCAACATGAACAGAATTTGTCTTACGATTCTTTGGTGCACACGCTGCACAGCCAGGAGCCGCTGGGCAGGAAGCTCTGGCAGTTCCGGCACACGAAGTGATTGCACATCTGACAGCGGTTGGAGAAAACGGTCAGGCGACTCAGAGGCTCCTGGCATCGGCCGCAGCTGTGCTCGCTGTATTTTCCACCGCCGTGTTTGGCTCCTTTCCTCTTGACTTCCAGTAACTCCGTCTTCAGCTTCCTAAGATAAAAGAAAAAACAGACACAATCGCCATTCGTTTAATGACAAACRCATGCGAACTGTACTGAGTAAAATGTACAGTAAAATACTTAAACTCAGCAATAAAACTAAAATATTGAAATTATATTTCAAATAAAAGAATTAAAAAGGAATAGCGAGTGATTCTTATGCTTCAAATCTTTCTATAAAAAAGGAGTTTATCAAAACTGACTATTATTATTTTTTATTACTACTACTACTACTACTACTACTACCACCTTATTATTATTATTATTATTATTATTATTATTATTATATTTTTCTTATCTCAAAAGCTTCAAAATGATGCAGAGTATTTTAATTTGGTGATTTATCACTTGGCTTGATAAGACACATTAGTTAAGAGCAGGTTTGGGGAGACGTCATTGAAAAAAATCCAACTATTTAAAAATTTCAAACCATAAAATTCACTTATTTTCTGATTCTAWGGCTGCTGGCAAAGAAAACAATGAATTTCATAGAAAATTAAAATAATTTTCTTAAGACTGTTAGTAAGAGTGGCGATCACTAGATTGTGTATAGTATTTATACTATTTTTATGAAAAATAACAATTATAGCAAAGATCAATATTTTTACCTTTTTTTTTTGCAGCCTGAGCTCATTCATAATAATTTATCAGAACTGGTCATAAATTYGACTGTCCCATCAAACCAGAGGTTAAACTGGATTTGGTCAAAGCCCAGTTTGACACCTGGTCATCCTTTATTTTTTAATTTAACCTTTATTATACCAGACAAAACATTAAGAATAACTTCTTATTTACAATGTCAGCCTGGCAAATCCTGAAATCACTGAGTGCTTCCAGAAATATGGTTTGATATGTTTTGTTAATCAGGAAGACCTCTGGAAAAATCTATCTGAATCCCATTTTTATTTTATTTAACAAGGATTTGTTTGTCATTTGAAAGAGGAAACCTCAAATCATATTTGAAAATCTGGATTAAGCAGCTGGTAATGAAAGTAGCTTTATAGCAAGCAGGGAAAGTAGCAAAAGTCTGGGGCTTTTCTGCTCAGAAAAGTGCTTTAAAATATTCTTTAGGATTATTTTTCAGATAGAGATCCAAAAGGGGTATTTATTCATCATATCCTTAAATATTACTTCATCCTTAGCTCAGTGCGACAGGTCAAAAACATGCAACATAAAGAGTCTCAACCTTGTTAAAATGATTTCAGTGTAAATTTGATCAGTGTAGAGAGCATGAAGAAGTGTTTAATACCACTCCCAATAAGCTGCAGAGCATCAACACAGAGTGAACAATCAATCATCCTCAATAAATATGAAGAGCTTAAAAGTGTAATCCAGCTTTAATCTGGACGGACAGGAGACGCTGGAGAAGATGATGTTTGCAGGATAAGTTGCCATGGTCACGTACGCCGATCAGATAGAGACTTAATCTCTAATAATTTAAACTAAACCTGTGACAGGGACCACTCCGGTCTCACCGTACGCGCTGCTCTTCTGCCAGCCTCAGCTCCTCGTCTCGCCGCAGCACCTCCAGGATCATTTCCCGCTCCGAGTCCGACAGGAAGCCCAGGTTGATGAGATCAGGAGCCCCCGGCATCGTGTCTTTACCCAGAACCGTCGGGGGCAGCAGAACCGGTCCAACCTGGTTAATGTTGCATTGAGAGGAGGCTTCTGGAAATAAAGTCGAGTCAGASTTTTAAAGTAACTAAGTACAAATACTTCTTTACTGCACTTAAGTAGAATTTTTGGGTATCTGTACTTTACTTGAGTAATTATTTTTCAGCCTATTTTTTACTTCTTACATTTTCACACAGTTCTCTGTACTTTCTACTCCTTACATTAAAAAAAGGCAAGAAGTATAAAGTTGCTACTTTTATTTCATTTTTGCTTGTTTTCGTTCCAGCTTGTTGTTGTAATAAATAAATCCTATCCATATAAATTGAGCCTCCTAGATACAGTTAATTTAATTGTGGTAGAATGAGAAGTATAAATA